TTTTACGATTCAATTTCGTCAGATCACATAGCTGGTTGTAGCATTTATGCCTTAACTAGAATAATAGCCAATCCGTGTTATTGGCCCTCATCCGTGTTCGGTATTTGGATCAGCATCAATGATCCTGATTAAAGCATCCATTGTTGCTATCTTTGATTTGTTAATTTTTTTTTTTTTGTTTAAACGTTGATCATTGTGTTATTATTATTTAAACAGAGGAAGACAGCAATACCTCAAATAATTGGCATCACATGTCTAGGATTGGTTAGATTGATGCCAAAATATTTCGTATGGGCATCAGCCTTAAAAAACTATCCATTGATATCTATCTATAACCTCAGAATAATTTTAGTCTTAATTTTGGACTAGTTTAGCATGTTATTTATCAGAAGAGGTTAAACTAGCTGAGCCAGGCTGTAATAAAAATGTTGCACATTGCTGGATTTTGCCAGTGGTGTCAAAAGTATGCACATTTGTTACTTAAGTAGAAATATGGATACTGCAGTTTAGAAACACTCTGGTAAAAGTTGAAATATCAACTTCACCTCTTTATTCAAGTAAAAGTAAAAACATATGTATTCTAAAAACTACTTAAAGTATAAAAGTAACCCTTAAAAAAAAAAAACAGCCAGATGCCACTATATGAACTGAAAGCTCAATTGTTCGGCTATTTGTAAAATTTCTTTGAGATCGGGCCAAGGATGAGGGAGGTCTTGATGGTCTCCATCTTCCGATACGACCTTTCAGACATTTCAACATCTTTTTCTGAATCATGATAATTCACGTTTGTAGTTTGAAGAACACCTGCTTGCTTCTGATGATTTTCTTTAGCTAACCGATGAGTGTTTGAGTTATATGACTCATCCAATTACAATATTTTTCACTAGATGTGGATGGTGCCAATGATCTGCATTGGATGGAGCACATGATGTAAAATAAATATTTATAAACATTAAACCGAAGCCAAGAGTAACGAGTAATGTTAGTTTTAAAGATGTAAGGAATACAAAGTTTAGATACCTAAAAAGTGTACTTAAGTACAGTAACAAAGTATTTGTACTTTGTTACTTGGCACCTCTGTCTTTTGAACAGCTGTTGGAAATTATTGTTATTTAGAAAATGCATACTTTTACTTTTTAAAGGACTCCCTGTCACATATTTTGTGCCAAATACATTTGACCGTTAGTTTCATAAAGTTAGATACCTTTTCAGCCAAAATGTGTTTCATTTTGTGGTGTTTGTCGTTTATATTTTGTGCTCTGTAGGCTGCAGGCCCAGTTTTTAAACATTCAGTTAGATGGACCAACAGTTGTTAGGCTACTACAGGCATAGGGTGTTCTCCAGTAGGTCACAGTGTACCCTCCCAATTTTGATCCGTTCTCTTATGGAATCTAACGAGGTTACACAGCTTTATGTAACCTGTTCCCACTCACACTTCTCCTTATTTTCACACTTTTCTGCCACTATTTGAGTGGAAACTCGTAATTTTCTTTTTACAGATTCAAGCAATACAACCAAGATTCTGCCTGTTTTTGTTTTGCTTAATTTCAGCACAGATTCAAAATAGTGATAAAACCATCAGAGCTAGGAGGGAGATTTTCTAGCTTTTATGTTTTTTGATGCAGAAATATTTTTTACATCCTTTTAGTTTTTGTTAAGAAAAATACATTTTATATGAATTAGGGCAACAACTAAAGATGATTTTGCAAATCGATTAATCTATTGATTATTTTTCTGATGAATCAATTAATAGTTGGATAGCCACAGATTCTTTAACCTTTTCATAACATGAGGACCCAAATTTGGGTCCTCAGCACTCGCCCCAAGATGGTTTTTAGACCTGTTACATATTCTCTGGGGTCTTGCCTTTCTTTTGATACCAAAACAATAAAAATAAACTCTGTAGTTCTTGAGATATATTCAATTCATTTTGGGCATGTTATTTTCAAGCATATTTCTCGAAAACAGGCCTAGTTAAAGAAGACCTTTTACAAAATTAAACAACTAAAAACTAGATATTTTCCACCTGAGTTCTAGATAGAGCATATTGACAGGCAATTTTCATTTTTTTTTATCTTACATTAAAACCTTCATATATATATATATATATATATATATATATATATATATATATATATATATATATATATATAATTTTTTTTTTTACATTTTTGAGTAGTATTACTGCTCTAAGTGGGTTACTCTGTCAGCTAAAGGCATGTTTTAGAGTCTCTATACTCTCAAGGGACGATTAATCGATCACTAAATTAGTTGACGATTATTTCAATAATCAATCACGATTAATCCGATTAATTGTTTCAGCCCTAATATGAATGTACTATTCTGGCTTTAGATAAGTAAGGTTTAAACTACGGATCAAAAACTACAACACCTAACCTGTCTAGATTCTTCTTCTTCCCCCATCAGAGGAGCTTTGTTTGTTTTTATACAAAAACCTCAAAATAAATGAGCATGTATGAAGAACTATATTCCAGCCCCTCTTGGTCAGATTTGATTATCTTATCTTTACTTGTAAAAATTAACTCTGTTGGATTTTAAACTTGCTAACAGGTCAAAGGGTTGCTCGTTATTTCTTTGACCACATTCCACATCTTTCAAACAGATAAGTCTAGCATAAGTTAGTGAATTATAACTGGTTTTCTCAGATCCAGTCATCTGTTGCAGCATGTTACAGTACTTAATTGTGAAATCTTAGTTACGACATGCCAGCTAATCACAGAGTGTCATTTCTGCCATGTTCCAATTTTGAATGCCATAATGGATGCTACTCATCTTCTCTGAGTAAAGCTCAGATCTCAGGAGACTCTGTTATCATCATCATCATAAGCTGTTCCCATCCATGGCTGTTTTTGTTCTCTTGCACTCTGTGGAAAACAACAGACAAGTTTATTATTATAAAGTCTTTAATTGGACCACTATCATCAAGGCTGATCTAAAATGGACTCCTGCAGGACAGAGCATTAGCTGGGTCATATTATTTGTTTACCTAGTCCTTCTAATTTTGCTCTGTTGCTTTAAGTTAATTTCTTGTTGAAGTTTTATTATTATTATTTTTTGCAAACAATGTTATTGCAGCATTTTAGTTGGTCTAATGATTCACCATAAACTCATTATCTGGGCCCCTGATGTAACCAGTTATTTGCTCCAACAAGAAGATGCTGCCTTTTCTTTCTTGTTTGTGTTCTGGCTGTGGGCCGGTGCTCAGGAAGTGGAAAGAAAAGACGGGTTGGGAATGATGCCTTGGATCTGGGGTGGCAGGGACTCAACTGCTGGCATAGAGGTGTCTTATGTTATCATTTGACATTTTTGTTTTTTGTCTCCAGCTGTGCAACAAGTAAAAACTAGAACTTAAACAAGGCTCTGACTTCTAACCTTAGAAGTGTTTGTACTGCCCCACAGAGTATTTTCTGGTGTGACTCATACATCCATGCTGGACCCTGGTATGGTTCCAATTGTTGGACTGGTTACCTGAACTTGTTGGATGCTGGTTATCTGAACTAGAGATCGAGCAATGGAGGACCCCCAGGGGTGGCAGTTTCTAAGCGGGGAACTTTAGGATGTGTCCTTGGTCCAACACACCTGAATCAGCCATTTGATTCCAGCGTGTTGAACCAAGGACAAATTGTTAATTTTATTTATTTTTTTTTCTATTTCATTGTTTTTGGGATGATTCATAAAGTTGATAGAGCTTTTTCTTCCCCTAGTACAGGAGTCCTCAACGTTTTCCAGGCCAAGGACCCCCAAACTGATGGCTAGATGGAGTGGGGACCTCCTAATTTTATATATATATATATATGTGTGTGTGTGTGTGTGTGTGTGTGTGTGTGTGTGTGTGTGTGTGTGTGTGTGTGTGTGTGTGTGTGTGTGTGTGTGTGTATATATATATATATA